ATTACTAATATTGATATTTTTATTATCATTGTTATTGTTATTATTATTGCATTTTTTTCTTCTACTATTATCATTATTATCATTATTATCATTAATATTTTCTTCATGATTATCATTACCATTATTATTATTTTTCTTATTATTATAATTTTATGATCATTATTAATATCATTATTATTATTATTATTATCATTATTATTATCATCATCATCATTATCATAATTATCATTATGACGTTAACTTTTCCCGAAGCCAAATAAAAGTTTAATCTAAGAAACTGAATGCAAATCTAGGACTTTATATTCAATTCACACCGCCTCCCTCAAAAAGATTGATTAGTCATCCCTATCTTTTGATTGTCAAAGAAAATGTTAGTTTCAATGCGTTCAAAGAAAGCGTACATTTTTCAGGGGAAACTTCTTCCTAACGATAAATTTCTCTAGTCTTACTCCTATAGAACCAAGATCACTGTTATTTCAAACTTGCTGATTCACTGATAGTAACTCGCCTCGTTGATAAAATAAATCAGAATAGAATATTTGATCATCATATTGGTGGGTTGGATACTGGTAATAACCTAGGGTTCATTTCATGCACTTTGGTCGGCGTGGCATGGATTTAGCCTAAATTATATTCCTTGGCGTATTGGCGTAATGAAATGGAAAAATCTCGGCGCATGCTTTTTTATCTTTACTGCTTTTTCAAATTTTTAAGTTGAACGCAATGCACTTAAACATAGTCGTTTGTTTTATTCCTTTACAACGGAATAAAACAAACGCGCCCCCCCCCTACACTCTTTGCGGCTGTTTTTTATCACTTCCATAGTTTTCAAAAGTGCCGCTGAGTTTTTGAGACAATTCAATTCAGGGGCCTCTGTTATAACATGCTGAGATGGTTTTGAATGACAAGGACAAATTACTTTTGTTAATCACATGAATTTTTCGTCAGGTCCCATAACCATTCAAAACATTGTGGGAGAAATTTGATACAGCTATTGGTAACGTTAGATCTGTGATCAGTTATCGAATATTTTGTATAGGAAATTTCGAGTTCAACATTTTATTTTAACTTCAGTAGTTTGGAGCAAATGCTTAAAATCAAATTCACAGTTCTTTGATATCGGCTTTAAGCGAGGATTCATTCAGAGTTTCTCAGTACTTAAGTTGATCGACAAGCCATGAAATAAGTGAAGAATGGAGCAAGACGCTGCACACCAAGTTATATTGGCTATAACTTGGCGTCATACTTGATGAAAAATTACTCTTATCGGGAACGTTGGCGTACACTCGATGAGCTATTGGCGTATCCCCGGCGTGAGTTTTACACAGGTGGACGGGGCCTTTTTTTTGCAATTCATCGAACATTAAGAGAACTTCAGCTAAGGGCTCAAAAATCCTTGAAGTTACATAAATGGTTAATTTTACAGTGATTTCGATAAGTCAGAGAAAATATCTTTTTACCCACTCCCTTCCTTCGTTTATGACACAGTAAGGGAGACTAAAGGAAGAATCTGAAATGTACCAAAATGAGATAAGATATTTATTAGTAATTTCTGGAAATACTTTATAACATTTTAGTGTCATTCTTATATAAAATGCTATATATATGTATCTATTATACACATAAAAATATTTTTCATTTGTAACATATTTGTTTTACAAAAATAGTCTTATTCTAAAACAATCACACTAATCTTCAACAGTTGTTGATATTGGAAAACGTAACACGTTTTCTTTTTTCCTTTTTATTTTTAGACCTTACGTATTATTCATTGGCTAAGCACACGGGTAATGTAGCAGATATCACACAGAAATCACAAAAAGTTTATATGTATACATATATATATATATATATATATATATATATATATATATATACACATACATATATATATATATATATATATATATATATATATATATATATATATATACATATATATACACACACACACACATTTATGTATGTATCTATATATCAACACACACATTTGTGTATGTATGTATCTATCTATATATTTGCACACACACACACACATACACGCTTATGTTAGCTTTATATATTAATATAAATGATCACACATACAAGTAGGCAAAAAAGCTTATTATCGCAAACAACACTGCTTTAAAAACACGGCATGGATACAATCATCTGGAAGTACATGCTAACGACCAGTGGTACGAAAGATTACTGCCAGAACTCAAATGACAAGAATCACTATAGTTGAATGATATCGACTTAACAGTGAAACCTGACGATGAAGTCACTGTTGTTTATTGCTCCTGTCAATCTTAAAAGAGTGTGGCCTATGTCTTTAGTTTTTGGAACCTATAGACAATGGTCAAAACAACAGTCAAATGGAGATAATGTTATAATTTTGATTCATTTTGCTCTGTAATTGATTTTGATTTGTTTGTGAATTATAAAGTTTACAACGTCCCCTCTGTAATGATACTGAATGTTAACTGAACACAGATATTTTCAAAATAACCATGCTAGAATGGAAATAATGAAAATATTGATCGTGTGTGAGTGAGTATAACTTCATACCTAACATTTTATACGTCGAAATTTACAACCAAAATAATTGAAGATAGAACAAATAAACTCTTCCCGAGCTTATTTGCATATTGTTGTAGTAAAGGCACAACTGTTGGCTAGAGAGCGAGCGAGCGAGAGAATAAAAAAAAATCAGAAGAGACAACAACAAAGAGAGAAAGAATGAAAATATTATTAGACCATTTTATCTAAATACATCTGCCACGTCAATAAACCAAGATGAAAAAACAAAAAAACAAAACAAGAAAAGAGGAGAAATTTAGAACGGAAGAGATACAGAAAGGAGAAAACGACGGCGAAGAAGAGACGAAAAAAACACGAAACATGTTCTCTCGAAACGAAGCAGTTCCAGGATTCACTCGGCACTTCGAGTTGCCGGCTGATCGAGTTCCACGTTGCTGGTCGCATACCGTCCGTTGGAAGGGGCTCGGTCGTCCGTAGGCACTCGGGTCCATCGCCAGCCTTGTAACTGTTCGGAGAGAGAGGGACACAAATAAGGAACCTTGTAACCGTTGGACGTGAGAGAAAAACAATATAAAATAAAATAAAATAATAATAATAATAATAATAATGGTAGTATAATAGTATAATGATAATAATTATTATCATTATTATTATCATTATTATTATTGTTGTTGTTATTATCTTTATCATCATTATCATCATTATCATAATCATAATTTCTATCAAGAGTATTATCTTATTATCACCATCATTATTATCATTATCAGTATTATTGTTTTAATAATTCTCATTGCTAATGTTTATCAGTATCATTATCATCATTACTAATATTAATATTACTATCATTATTACAATCGTCATTATAATTATGATTGTCATTATCATTATCATAACGATAGTGATAATGATAATTATATTCATAATCATAATCACCAATAACACCAACGTCTTCATCATCTTTCATTACTGTTACAATAATTATACTTATGATTTACCTTTAAGTCCTTCCTGAAAATAACGGCAGCCAAGAAGACGTAGACTCCCTGTAAGGCGTTGACGATATCGAACACAATTATCCTGGGAAAGACGCGTTGGTTAAAGCGTTGGTGAGCTGATAAAGTGTTCGTTTCGATTGGTTGGCTGGTTGACGAAGGGTGATAATTGTGAGTTTGGTTAATAGGGAGGGGAGGGGAAGGGAGGGGAGGGGAGGGGAGGGGAGGAGAGGGGAGGAGAGGGGAGGAGAGGAGAGGAGAGGGGAGGGGAAGGGAGGGGAGGAGAGGGGAGGGGAGGAGAGGAGAGGAGAGGGGAGGGGAAGGGAGGGGAGGAGAGGGGAGGGGAGGAGAGGAGAGGAGAGGAGAGGGGAGGGGAAGGGAGGGGAGGGGTGGGAAGAAGGAAAGGTAATAGCTATATGTATGTACACACACATATATATGTATATATATACACACACATACACACATTTATATATATATGTGTGTGTGTGTATGCATATATTCATATATATAAATATACACATACACACACATATATGCATTCATACATATATAAGTATATGAATATATACGCACACGCACACGCACACGCACGCACACGCACACACACACACACACACACACGCACGCACATATACACATATTATATATATGGATATGTATATATATATACATACATATATATATATATATACATATATATATATATATATATATATATATATAGAGAGAGAGAGAGAGAGAGAGAGAGAGGGAGGGAGAGAGAGAGAGAGGGGGGGAGAGAGAGAAGGGGGAAAGCGAGAGAACCAGCCAAAATGACAGACAGACAGACAAACTAACAGTCAGGCAACCAGGAGAAAAATAAAAATTGGAGGAGCTAGAGACCATGGTAACAAGCAGACAACACAACACTAGCGCATATACTCATCATATAATAGAGAATGCAATAGTATAGTTACTCATACCAAAATATCCAATACCCCCCCCCCCTCTACACACACATACACTCAACATACCAAAACCATCTCTTATGTTACATACCAGATACTGCATTGGCCCGGTACCTGCCATGAAATGACTTCAAGTATCCAAGCGACTCCCATGATGAGGAAGAGCCAGAAGAAGAGGGTAATTCTGAAAAAAAAAAAAAAACGCAAATATTATCGACATAAAGACAACAACCAATATTGTTTCAAAGTCGTACCAGCATTTTGAGTAACAACACAACTATCCCCCATCGCCTACTTTGTTATACATTCATCTTGATAATACCATTAAAAAAAAAGCAATTAGGGAAGAACGATTCACAAATGACTCACCGAGCCACTGGTGACTCACAAACTCACCCTTGATTCTTGTCAGATGCTCGGTGAATCAGCCACGACTTCGTTTTCCTTGCCGAGAGGATGGCAGACCACACTAGGAGTATTAGGTTCACAATGAGGAGCGCCAGGATAATGCCGTACTGATAAGCCCAACGAGACT